GCTTACTGGCCTGGGGGGATATTAGGAAGTCACAGGCTTTCAAGCAGTTATCTGAAGCAGGAGACTTCTATTGTTTAGGATTCAGAAACTGATTTACAAAGCAAACAAGAAGCAGGGAGGTAGAATTTTAGGATTCAGGCTAGGAGCAATCTTTAGTCTAGGATTTACAAACTGGTTAGAAAAGTAATCAAAGCCAAGAGCTAAGGAACTAAGAAACTAGGGAGGAGACTTAACGTTTCCATAGGAAAGAAAACTTAAGTCTTTGGCAGGGGGCACTCGGCCAACCGGTAACAGAACCTTCCAGAAAGACAAGACATGAGCACTCTCTTACCTGAGGTAGATTCCACCGGACACTGACAAGAGGAATTCAGGTTAAGTCTGTAAAGAATTGCTAATAGTAAGTGTAAACTAGGAAGAGAATATAGAACTCCTTAGGGCCACAGACAAAAGGGACATTCACACTAACTTCCACGTTCCTCTTCATGGATCTCACCAGGAGAAGGCTTCCACTTTATGAGAAAAGCCACAAGGCAGGGAGTGCCAGGCAGCCCCTACTTAATCAGAACAGCTGCTGCCTGGCAGCCTGCAGGAAAGCAGCCACCTCAGGCCTACGATGGCAAGTGACTGAATTCTCCCAAAGGCCACACGGGTTTGGAAGGAGACCTCTGCCCCAGATGAGATTGAAGTCCCAGCAAACAGTGTGTTTTCAATCTCGTGAAGCTCTGAGCAGAGCTTTCAGCTCCACCATGGCCAGACTTCTGACCTGCAGGAGTATGAGGTAATGCCTGCTGCTTTCCAGTCGCTAAGTTTGCGGTACTTTGTTATCTGGTGCTAGAAATAAATACTGCAGCATTGCAAGGTGAACCTCATTTGGGGGAGCACATTTACATGTACTTTCAAGACTCCTGTGTGGCCTGTAGCATTGCTCAGTTTCCTGAATGGTGAATATTATTCCTGGTTGATTTCTTATGAATTCACCTCAGTTCCTCTCCTCCCAGGGCTGTATCCTACAATCATTTACTGCCGGGTTCCTTTGCCTAATGGGCCACATTCTTAGGGATTGTCCCTTTAGGGTGGTTTCAGCCCAGTGACCTTGCATAGCATTCACTTGGTCCCTGGGAATCACACCCCTTGTCCTGCCTAATATCATAAGCACAGCGACTCCCTGATGACCTTTTTCTTGTCCTGCCATCCCTTGCAACTCCAGCCAGAGCTCTGTAGATATTTTCAGGTGTGAGTCAGGTGTGCGATTCATAGGGTGGCATGTCAGGTTCTCCAGGTCACCTCTTGAAGCCCATCCCATAAGGATTGGTGTGAAATTGACTTTTCTCTCCCCCCTCCCTGTTGAGAGGCAGCGAGAGGTCACAATCACAGCACACCAGCAGTTTCCAAAGAAACCCTGTCCCCTGCCTTCTGTAGCTTTCCTTATGCCCTCAAGGATGTCCAAGGCTAAGTGTTTCAGATCACGTTTTGTGGTCAGCGTCTTTGCTATTCTTCCATCGTGGTCCAGTACCTCCATGGGGAATGTGGGAGTTCATGATTCTTAATGTTTTATCCTCCACCTTTTGGAAATTCAGCCCAACCTGATCAATCTTCCTTTATAGGCATTTTCACCCCCTTCCCGTTATTGTGAGGGAGCTTTGAAGTGGAACCCAAACCAAGAAGGGGTAACAGGTGGCTAGTGTAATAAGACCATAGCTGCAATTTTGAAATTAATGGAGTTAAAGTCACACTAAACAGGAGCATGACATAGACTAAATGGAGGGGCGATACCTCTGGAGAAAACCAGCCACACCAGCCTCTCCTTCCTTGCCATCTGCCTTTGACCTGCCCCCCTCCCCCATTCAGAAGGCCTTCCCTTCAGAAGATCCAGCAGAAGCTGACATCAGCGTTCTCCATAAGCTACTCTGGAATCAGCAGAAACTTCTCCGGGGAAGCCAGGGGCATCCACTGGACACCTGACAGGGCTGGATTTTCACGTAACAAGAAATTAGTATGGGTTGAGACTTTATATTCTATAGGGAGAACTGAGTGTCTCAGAGAAGAAGGGGAATTGGATGGGAAAGTTCTGGAAAGGGGCCAAGTATAGAAGAGAGGAGAAGCAAGAGAAAGGAGGGGACATTTTGTGACAAGGCGAGCATCTATGGGAGGTGCCCTCTGTGACTGAGCCAGCTGACCCTGGATGGCAGTCAAGGTCATGAGTAAGGTAATACTGGGGCACGGTCACTGGTCCACCCCTCTGTGTGACTCTGAGACACGCACAGGAATCATGAGGGTCAGAGCATTTTCAGCTTTTGGAATCAAGCAGGCTGGAACTTGAAAGGAGTAGGGATTATCCTGGTTTCCTGGTCCTGTGTAAGCTCTCAGCTCACCCTCCCCATGCAGCTCTGGGGAGGAGGAGAGTCCCCCAGTATATGACCCCTCAGCTGTGTGCTCTTCAGACCAGACCCCTCACTTCTCATTTCCCTGAGTTAATTCCTGTGAAAATGACAGAAACGCTCTCAGATCTCTTTTGGAGAATAATTGAGCAAATGTAAATCTGACAATTGAGACAATCTAACGGCCAAATCAGTCAGGCTCCAGGAATGAAAACTGCTCCCACACCAGGTAGCTCAACACAGAGAATTTAACATGAACGCCTGATAAGAAACTGTTGAAAAAGCTGAACATGCAAACGTGAGCGATGAGGCAACCCCAAGGTTAGCTGCAGCTGGAATCCCCACGGCCCTGTGGTTGCAGGAAAAACAGCAGGCTAGGGTTGTGGGGCACGGAGCAAGGACTGGCTGCCAGGAGCTGTGCCTGCAGTGGAACTGCCACTGAAAAGTGCCAATATAGAAGCAGGGGTTTGGCTGCGGGCGATGGAGCCACTGCCGGAGCAGAGAAAGAGGGAGAAAACCCCTCAATTCTGCCTTCCTCCCACCTACCATTCTACCAGGCACTCCCATCGACTGGACAACACAGCCAGAAGCCAGGAAGCTTGGAGAATGTCGTTTACAGACAATAGTGCCAATTACACAGAGCAGAGCAGGGAAGGGACAGAAAACGGAGCTCAGCGCAGACAGGGATCCAAGGACCCACTCAACTGTCGAGCCTCAGCGTTCACTCTGACATGTTCAAGTGGAGTGACCAAGTTCGCGTCGCTGTTCATAGGACTGGTGATTTTGACCTCTGTTGTGTGAAGCTATGTGTTTTATTTCATGAGGCAGAAGTTGTATAATCAACCCTTCATGTACATTCCATGCTGAGAATTTTAAATGAATCTGGAGCCTTTTCGTTCACTGGAAGGAAGAGAAAGACAGAGTTGGTGCATGGACATTCACTGAGCAAATGTGAAGTGTTTTATAAATACACCCTAAATACTAGAATCAAGGAATAATGATATATTGGTCTATGAAGAAGTGTCTGGAAGAAAGTCATTTATTGTATTGTGTACAAGTGTAACCCTGTTAGCAGAGATGTAGATACCGTTTCCGTTTATCTATTTTGTGAGAGTTAGCACATATAGATCGATAACACAGAACGTGTCATTGGTGTGTGCATCCTTTACTGGTTCCCAGCTATGACCTTGAGGAAACGACAGCCTCTCTGGGTCTCAATTTCTTAAATATAAATGGGGACAATAAAATATACCTCATGTGGCAATCTTGAGGCATATGAGGAAAATGTGGGGAAAAGTTTCATCAATTAGTAGGCACTCTACAAATATGTAGTGGTAGTACCTGATTGATATCCAGGGGCCACTCGTGTCTATGAGCTATTAGATACCCACTCATGTCTGGCTTTTTCAAAGATTATCATAAAACATAAGCAAAGGAACAAAACAGAGAAAGAAATGAGAAGGACCCTGACAAGCACTGCTTGCCTTAGTTAAGCCACGTAATTTCTCTTGACCTTCCTTGAATATTCTGTCCTGCCTCGGAGGCCAGGAGAAAGCTGGTCGGCTTTATTAGAGTCTCCGTCGGCAACAGAAGTAGCTCGGCTTGCAGGGTCCAAACACCTTCTCATTCTCAGCGCATATCTTCTTGCATCTGCCCCGACCCAGCCAGCATGTCTCACAAGATGCAAACTCACCTGCGCCGAGAAAGAAGTGCTGCTATGCCTTTTCTGGAACTCCCTGGAAATGGGGAAAAGTTCACAGGCCACAAAGAGGGATGGTTTGTGTTGATGATTACAAAGAGTGTTTTCAAGGACCAGCCCAGTTTTTTCAAAGAGCTCTGCTGTTTTTCAAAATGGAGTTGAAGAGAGTTAATTTTTAAACAACAGGGAGGCACCGACCCTGTTCTCTTTGTTTATAGCCTTGCCCGGGTCAAAAGGAGGCACAGTCCACGTGTCACATATGTTATAGAACTATGACAATACACACACGTGATACTGCTGTAAAGGCTACAAGGTGATAATGGGAGGGACAGCTTGTGGTTTTGAAAGATCCTCGAAGGAGTGAGAAGACTTGGGCCCCATTCTTGTGCGAGTCTGCAATGGCCACGTGTCCTCAGGGAACTTCTTAATCTCAGCTTTCTCAGTTGTCAAATGGACATGCTATAAATACTTGTCTACATTTTTAATTCTTTTAGTAGTGAAATGGAATAATTTATGTGCGAATATTTTGCCAAATACTATTTATTCCATTAGCTATTTTTTGCTGTTACTTTGAGCAGAAGCTAATTTGCATGACCACGAATAATTTTTCAGGATAATGTTCATGAACCAGGTAGGTAGTATTTGCCATCAAAGAAACGTTTATTTGTTGCTCTGGTTCTCCAGGGGCGGCATTTATATTGTAACCCCTTCTTTTCTTTCCCATTAACCACCATCTTCCTAGTCACCTCAGGACAACATTGAACCTTACAGGCTGGTACCACTACTGACTGCTGTGCCCCTACACAACTCATTTTTCCATCCCCGTCATTTCAGTCTCCCTGCTCTTCACGCTCCCCGCCTCACCCCTGCTCCTCTCTCAGATGACTGCTCAGTGACATACCCAGCTAGAGGTGCTCCATTCCTGGGGTGCGATCGCATTGCCCTGCCCTGCATCTCCTGAGCCTGCCCACGTAACTTCTGAGTACAAACCCAGAGATTGTTTGTATTCGTGCTTAGTGTCGCTTCCATGTGTTGCAACTTGCTGTGTTCCCTGGGGACTGCCTTGTTTGTCCATTTGCTTCTGTGACACCCGCTGTTAGAGTCGAGTCTGTTCCCCCAGCCTCTGCTCTCATAACCCCGGGCTGTCACCTTCCTCTTCCTGTTGGTGCTGTGCACACCTTGAGGTAAGAATTCCGATTAACTCTGAAACAAAGTCCCTGGTGACTTTCACTCTAACATACCTGATTGGGAGTGAGGGAAGACAAAAACTGAAACTCTGCTGAAGGTGCCCTCCCCGCAGCCGATGGCATTGAGAGCTTCCTGACCACATTTACAAATAAATGGGACCCTCTCTACGACATTGGTCAGACCCCTACTATATATAATTCTTGGCTCTAAGGCCTCTCAGCTCAATGGCTGAATCTCAAGCTCGTCAACCCCTGTTTGCCTCCAGCTCCTAATTTTATTCTTTTTCACCCCTTCATTCCCAGCTCCTCCCTCACCTGGGATCTTCTGCGCTAGCACCTGCCTCGATTCCCCGGCTTCTGGAAGCGCCGCCTCTTCACCTGGATTTGCCAACAGCTGTGCTTTGGTGCCTCAGCCTGTCCTACTGCCGACTCAGGAAAGAATGAGCATTTTCAGCCTTAGAGTCAAGTAAGACTTGGAATTATGTGGCATTTCTAACCCACCTCCTCTTCGGAATGCCAGGGACTATCGCTAGGTGCCCATTTGCTGCAGAATAAGAACACCTGTGCTCCCGCCCATCACCCTGATAACCTGCTCTGGATGCATTCTTAGGCAGGGCTTCTCTGCAGTTGGCACCCAGTGGCGTGAGCAAAGCGATTACTTATGACAGCATCTGTGCTTCTCAGGGCATGTGTGGTTGGGTTGCTCAATGCCTGTGTCGCACGGGTTGTGGAAGATTGCCAGCCCTGCTTAAGAGTGTTGTTGAGTGCTGTTCTACCTGGTTGGGAATCACAGAATTAAAGCTTGTGACTCTGGTGCCCTGAGTTGGAAGCCTAGCTTATCACTTATTATTTGTGAGCCCTGGGCAAAATTGTTTAATATCTCATCTATGTCTCTGCTTTATCATCTGGGAAATGGTGCGTATACTAGTACCTACCTCAGGGGGATGTTTTGAAGATGAAATGACATAACCCACATAAAGTTGGTCACAGAATACCTGATTGCTTGGTCAGCACTCATTGACTAGTAGCCACCTTAGTTTTTCTCACTCTGAAATTCTGTCTAAACATTTCTAAATTTTGCTTGCAATTACCCAAGAATATTCCTTTCCATTCTGTTCATAATATGCTTTCTTCCTGTGTAAAATGACTCCACAAAAAAAGATCAGGGGACTATTGGTTATGAACACCTCTTCTGTAATAGGGGCGAGTTTTCACTGAACCACCCTCACTCCTTCGTTTGGCCCTTCCTAGACCAGTGATATACATTTGTGACACCCTTTACTGGATTTAGGGACAGAGTCTGGCCGAGATGGATAAGCACGTTTCCAGAGCAATGCTATTTGGCTAGTCTAAGCTTGATCCTTGACCTCGGTTTACCGAGCACCATGGATTAATGAGAATAGCCACCAGGTTCACATATCTACGGCCAAAATGACAATCCAGCAATGAAGAGATTTCTCTGTGAAATGGAAAATCCAAATATGATACTGGAAACAAGGGGAGGAGAAGATAAGAGTTAGTGGGCTGGCATTTCATGCAGTTCTAGTTTCACTACTGTCTCCATCACCTCCTGGCCTCCCGACGTCAGAGAAAGCTGACAGGCCAGAGCTCCTAGAAGTAAAAACTATACACAAGGGATCTAACTTACCTTCTTGGAATTCCTGGTTATTCTTGAATCCTGCATGGCACCCTGAGTTCAAAACAAAGCAGAATTTGGAAATTAAAATCTGTGTAGGAGATAACACCGTGTAACACAACATTGCCCAAGGACAGCAGGTCGCAAGGGTTCAGCTTTATTCTGTTTCTGAAGTCTAGCCCTCATGGTAACCAGGAAGAAGGAAAAAAAAAAAAAAGGAATAGCTGTTTGCTCTTAGAAAATGCTCCTGCAGATTCAAGAAATTCCCATGAGAACTGCGGTGGGGAGCTGACCATTACTCTTAATTTTGTGGGGGGTACATAGAAGAATCATCAAATATTCTGCTCTGCCCATTCAAAGTGCCACACATTCTCATTTACCTGATGGAAATTGAGCCAAAATGAAGAAAAAGACGAAGACAAAATACAACATCTTTCTGCTTGGGACCGTTGCTGAGGGAAGACCCTTCAGGACAGAGGTTTGGGGTGGCTTTGAGAGAACAAGAGGCTCACTTATATTTGAAAGTAATGTGATATGCTCTTGGTCAGTGAAGTGAATCAATAAAGAAAACCCATTTCTATGCTCCATTTCCCAGGATCAAAAACAGACATGATGGATGATAGCCCTTGGCCTCCATAAAGCTTGTATTTTGGGGATCTGACTGGGGTAGTGGAAAGAACAGCAGGCCAGGAATTGGGAGACTAGGGGCCACGTACAGCTGTGCCCTGCCGTCCAGGAAGTGGGGGCGCCTTTCCGCTCTCCCCTCTCCCAGCTTCGGTTTTCTCACCTATCAGATAAGGACCAGTGACACTCACGGACAGATACCACCGTTATTCTGCCAGCCTCTCGAGGCTGTTGTGAGGCTCGAGTGTGATGACTATGCAGATGTGGTTTGAACATGTGAACGCTTAGAGGGAGTCTGGTGTGCGCTCAGGAGTGTGGACGAGCACTCTCCCGGCTTTCATCTGTCCTGTCTGTAAGTGTCACCAGGAGAAAGGAGGGATACCAATGATTCTGCCAAGTTAGCCCTGAATCCCTGACCGGTCACAATATCACCCAGCAGATCAGTCAAAATCACCACATCTATTTAATTCATTAAGAGCATAAGTATCAGAAGTAATATTCCTACCACTGCGCCCTCCCCCCAAATAAGTCCCTTGCTCTTGCCTTTGCTTACGCAATGCTCTGTCCTTCATTTTTTGAATGAAAAATAAGATCATTTACAAATGTAGACTCTGACGTCAGACAGGTTGATTTATTGAGTACATGACCTTGAGCAGATTGCTTAATTTTTTTTTTATTTTTATTTTTAGCTGAGCCATCCTGCCACCTGTTGGCAGCTCAGCGGCTGCTCAGCTCGGGCTGACTCGAACCGCTGTTGCTCAGAGCTCAAACTCTTGAGCAAGCTCTTAACCAACTGAGCCACTCAGCCAGCCCAGATTGCTTAATTTTTTGGACCTCACTTTCCTCATCCTTAAAATAGGATGTAATAATGGTACATTATTAGCTACTTCATAGGCTCCGGAGAGGATGAGCTGAAATAGGCGTGTCAAGTGCTTTTCAGTGTGTCTGGCTCCTGTCACTAGGACCACAGTTCCATTCCTCTCTATCCAGCTCTGAGCCCAGCTTCTCTGTAAACACTTTTTTCAAGGCCACTAATTCATAAGGAACCTTTCCTGGCCTGGAAAACACAACACTGCTGATAGTTGTATGTTTGTTTCTGACCCTTGCTAACAACTCAGCATCAGGAACACAAGCTAGTACGTATGTACTAGAGGGTAGAGTTGAGCCGAATGCCTTTCAGTGTTTAGGCATTTTTAGTAACCTGGAGCCGGCCAGCTTGGTGGGCTTGTGATGAGTGTGGTCACATAGCCTTGGGGTTTAATGCTCTGCTCACTGTGTTGAAATGCTTAACAGTTTTACCTGTGACTATGTGCTTTGTAATGAAGTCTGATGGGATGAAGAGCCTGTGCTGGGGCCCTGGAGCTCAGGTCCCATACGCGCTCTGACAATTAAGTTCGCGAACTTGTTGCAACAGTGTTGCTAACCTTTTTTGTTATCAGAGGGATTATTTATTATGAATTTGTACCAACTGGACAAACAGTTAACCAAGTTCACTATTTGGAAGTGCTGAAAAGGCTGTATGAAAAAGTTACACAACCTGAACTTTTCGCCAACAATTCATGGCTCTTGCATCACAACAATGCATCAGCTCACATGGCACTGCCTGTGAGGGAGTTTTTAGCCAGTAAACAAATAACTGTATTGGAACACCCTCCCTACTCACCTGATCTGACCCCCAATGACTTCTTTCGTTACTCGAAGATAAAGGAGATATTGAAAGGAGGACATTTTGATGACATTCAGGACATCAAGGGTAATACGATGACAGCTGTGATGGCCATTCCAGAAAAAGAGTTCCAAAATTGCTTTGAAGGGTGGACTAGGCGCTGGCATCCGTGCATAGCTTCCCAAGGGGAGTGCTTCAAAGGTGACCATAGTGATATTCAGCAACGAAGTATGTAGCACTTTTTCTAGGATGAGTTCACGAACTTAATCGTCCGACCTTGTATCTTCCCGCCTGGCTTCCCTCCTCACCTTTCTGGGGCATGGGGGTTCAGGCTTCACAAACCCTGGGACCCACCTGGCCTCCTCCTTTCTACTCCTTCCCAGCAACCTCTGGGACCTGGGTCTCAGGACACAGCATTGATGAACCCCTCCCTGGTTTAGGCTGGAAACTCCCCTCCCCCAATTCAGTACATATGTGTCCTCACGTAGAGGTTGGGGTATCCTTGGGAGTCGCCCAGTCACCCTGGTGGGGGTGGCAGGCCCATGGGAAGGGACATGCCTGGCTTGACTCTCTCTGGCACAAGTCACCCCAGTTTAGCAGCAGCTGGCAGGAGGGTGTGGGGCACACGCCTGTTGGAAGAGTAGCAAGGTGAGGGGACCCCCTAGGTACCTGTGGGGGTCTGCAAGTGTCCCTGTGCCTGAGGAAATGCAACATTAAATAGCAAATAAAAAGCACTATGACAGATGGAGAAAACTGGGAGTAAAGGAAAAAGCTTTATATTTTCGTGGCTTTAGTGACACGTTTTTCATGCTTTTTGAGCATGGGACCATGCATTTTCATTCTGCCCTAGGCCCAGAAAATTTCATAGCTGGTTCTGAGCTAGTGTGAACTTCTAATCTTAGAAAAATGAGATGACCCCTGAAACCACCTAAATTTAAAGGCTTCTCCCCATCATGGGAGTCACAAGGCCTCCGTGTTGTATTGCTGGGCCAAACACGGCCCCTGTATGTTGGTCCCTAGGGGCTAGACTTCGTTAGTTCAGAGCCCCTGGGGTCTGGTTCCAAACTCGAATTCTTCCACATCTAGTTGCTTTGAGTGTAGCGCCAGTAAGCATTTGTTTAGCCATGGAGGACATGCCTACTTTTTGTTTTCCACAAAATTGTACCCACTCTACTAACCAGACATAAGACAATCCCTGTAGCTGTGAGACTCCAGGTCACCCTCTGAGCTCTCTGACCCCGAGCTCCTGCCTTGCTGCTGAGTGACATCATCTAGACACAGGAGTCCCTCTCTGATGCCCCTCCTCCCTGGGGGCTCCTTTGATCTTTAGGGTGGTGGCCATAGGCCACTGTCTCTGGAGGGCTCCTCCTGGGAGGGCCTTCCCCTTTCCTGTGACCTTGTGCAGGTGCCATCCAATAATGCTTGTTTTGTGTCACTGCCTCTTCCTCGATCAGCCCTGAGTCCTGGAACTCACTTAACCCCTGTGTACAGAATTCGCCTGATCAGATGCACCTGCCCCGTCCACAGTGAGGTACAAACAGGGAGTCTGCTCTTCTAGAAGAGTCCAAAGCTGTGCTTTCCTCAGGAGAGTTAGCTGGCTATTTGTGAGATCTCACACAGAACTCTGCATGCTGTGGTCTGAATGCTCCTGTCCCCCGATACTCTTACGTGGAAGCCCTAACTCTGAAGGGGATGGTGTTAGGAGGTGGGGTCTTTGCGAGGTGATGGGATTAGTGCCCTTATAAAAGTGACCCCAGAGAGCTCCCTGTCCCCTTTGCCGTGTGAAGACACAGGAAGAAGTCAGCTGTCTGCCCCTGTCAGAGGGCCCTCATCAGAACCCCACCACGCTGCCCCCCGATCTTGGACTTCTGGTGTCCAAGAACTGGGAGAAATGAATGTTGGTTGTTTATAAGCCACGGAGTCTGTGGGATTTCGTTACAGCTGACTGAACAGGCTGAGACACTGTACATCCTGGGTTTGGATGAGAAGCCACACGAAACCCTAACACCAAGTGGAGTTTCTATTGCCTTTTAACGTTCATCTGTTTCAGATGGTCCAATGAGGACATATTTCTGTTTCCAACTACACTTGCTGACAGAGACCCACTTGTGAAAGCAGAAATAAATGGGATAATGAGACAATAAATAACCGAAACCGTGAGTGACTGAGAATATCTAGAAGTTTGTCTCATAGGTTTAAATCTTTTTAAGTGAAGTTTGGGAGGGAATAGAGGAAATTTGTATTTTCAGTCTATCATTCTTAACTGAATTACTCATAATTGATAATCAGTATGCACAAAAAAATGTCTAACAAAAATATGGTGACTGAGGCCAAGGATACATGGGACTTCCCCTGATAGTCTTTTTAAATAAAATTCTTAGTTTGGGATAGTTTTAGATTTACTGAAAAGTTGCAGAGATAACACAGAGTTCCCATCTAGCCTTCTCCCACTTTCCCCTAATGTAGCACCCACGTTAATCATTAATAATTATTAATGAATAATTAATAATAACCACGATACTTGTTCTTTTGTAAGATTTCTAAGGCTATTTGGGTTCATATACATATTTAACAATTGAAATACTATACACACACATGTGAACTCTCAATCAAATATTTGGTAAGCTCACACCTATCCAGGGAGCTGTTTGAGGATTAAATAAGGTGACGTATTTGGCACTTACAGTGTGCAGCATACTGTTTTTAAAATAAATAATGGCACATATGCTCAGCCAAGCAGTTTGCCGAGAGTACAGCTCATAGATATTGGAGCTGGAATTCAGATTCTATCGGAGTTCAGTGCCAGCTCTTCACCCCTGTGGTGTAATATTATGTAATTAATCTTATTTCACATGAGTAAACTGAAGCTGCTAAGGGAACACAGTCAGGATTAGAAGTCCAGACTGCCAGGCTCCAGACCTGTCCTTCTTGCTGTCTCAGATGTCTTCATCAGTGGACACCCCACTCTATCCTCCTTACATCCCCATTTTCCTTCTTGGGAACTTTCCAGAATCAAAAAACCAGTGAGCTGCAGACTGATGCCCACAGAGGTATGTGGGCCCTGCCCAGCAGAGCGCAGAGAGATTTCTGGCATGCCTCGCTGATCAAGATGGTATTTGGTCTGGAAAAATGTATAAATGTGGGTGTTAGCTGCTCTGTCCCATGGACGCTGGGCGGACCTCTCAAGACCCTGCAAGTCATGAGGACGCTCCTTTTTCTCTTTGCTCTCCTCTTCTTTCTGGCCCCAGGTAAAATGCACACCTTTGCAGGAAGGGTATCAGAGGGGGTGGCCCAGAGAGAAGGTCTGCCTCAGGGAGGACGTGGGCACCGTCAGCTCGGGACTGCCAAGGCGCCTGGCTCCCGTGGCGCTGCCGGGTACCGCTTGCTGCAGGAGGCACCTTTTGCCTAATGCCTCTCCAGAAATCTTTTGCATATTCCATTATTATGTAGGATGGGGTGTTACAGGTCTGCAGAAATACAGGTATGCCGGAAAAGATGCTTTTGACCCCTAGCCTCATGCTCACTAACAAAAAGAAAAATTTGGGGGAAAACAATGTAAAGCAAGGGTAGCCATCTATGGATATTTTTAAAAAATAACAGTCATGATAGAGATTAAGACAGGTATGAAAGAGAGACAGAGAAAGCAAGGAATGGAAGATAGAAGGACTGGAGCTTAGAGACACTGTGCGTTCATGCTAGGCATGGCATTAGGTAGAATAATGAAACTTAAACTGTCGTTTTTAATCATGTACTGTAGAGCTGGATACTGTGACAAAAACTTCACGATGAGATGCATTTAGCTCTCCAATGCCAGCGCCTTTAAGGGAGACTCTACCCTACTCTACTTAGTGACATTCAGAGCAACACTTTGGGTTTGGTAGGCCCATTTTACACCTGTTTTACAGATAGAGAGACTCAGATGGGCTAAGCAGATGCTCAAAGTCATACGTAGAAGCAGGAGTGAAGCCAGGATTTGAGCCCACTCCGTCTTGCTACAGTGAGAGGATGTGTCCTTCCCGGTCAGAACTGTCACCAGTTTCTCCTGTCCCTGGGAACCTTCAATGGCTCCTTTAATTTTGGGTCTTCCCCACAATTAAAGTCCAAGACTAGACTCACTCCAGGTCCCAGACGGCAGAAGAAATGGCTTTCCAGAAACCACCGTGAGTCCAAATTTGTGTCAGGTGCTAGCAATACCTCCTGTGTGGTGGTCAGAACGTTCACAGCTGCTGTGCGTGCCTCTGGTCGGTTCTGCACCAAGCCTGTGTGTGTAGATTCTGTGTCAAGGATATGACGCCCCCAGACCTTCTGGGAGACATTCATTGCACTGGCTTTGATGCACACATGGGAAGTGACCAAAGGTTTCTTTATCGGATTGCTCAGACTTATCATATAATTAGTCAGCACAATACAGGTTATAGAATATGTGATGGTCTAACATAAGTAAATGAAAATGTACTATCGATGTGTCCTATGCACCCACACATGCACCACAGAGGTACGTTAACCTCTGGATGGGCGTCTGTGATGATGCATTAGAAGCCTCGTGGGCACAGATGTGCTTCCCCTTTCCAGAAGCTTCCTCTCGACCATCACCCTGAGTGGGATCCAGTACAAGGTCTGTAGTCAGTGAGGACCAGCACCTCTAGCCTGAGGTAGTCTGACAGCAGTAGGAGAGGACAGGCCCCTGGAGGGGGAGCCACGGCCCACCGAGCTTTGAAATACTGGGGTATTTGTCCTAATGAAATCCTATGCCAATGAGAGCTATGACCACTGCACATGCTGACACCAGTCCATCTGGTTCTAGTCACATGTATGTTGATCAGGCACCTTATATGTTGACATTAATTGCAATCTGACTCTTTCATTACTTATACCCAAATTAGGCAACTCTAAAATGTTGATTCTGATCTGTTGTCTGTCCTTAACGTGAAGCTGGCTGCTGTTACGATTGCTACCGACAAAGCACTCGGGCCAGAACTGGTACTCGGTGCAGACTAGCCCAGGAGGAGGCTTGGAGAGTCATTCCCAACATCCTCGGCCCTGCTCTTGACACAGCTGACGGGATGTGAAGGGGAAACCAGACTGAGCCGTTTTAAGCAGTCTCTTTATGTCTATACACTGTGGAGAACTTTTTCTGTCTATTTATTCTCCTTTTACCCAGTCTCAGGCTATCTCCCCAATCTCAGACTGCTCTACTCTTCACAACGTAGCACTTTGAGAGTACGTGGCGGGGTGGGGGGTGGGAGTGTGTGTGTGGGGGCACGGAGTTATTGACTCTAAAGGTGTTTGATGATCACCCAATAGCTGTTGAATCCCAAAGCCCCCCACTCCCATCCAAAACACTGGGAGACAGAGCTCTTCTTTCTGGCCTGAAAAATCAGGTAGAAAACATTTCTGTGCCAGCTCATTTACAGCAGAAAGAGCTCTGCCAGCTTGTAAAGACATCTTCACTAACTAGTTACTCGACTGTATCTGGTAACCAGACATGTCTGAGATGAGAATTAATCCCGGTGACTCCTTCCTTGTGTAGCCAGGAATGCATTTTTTGATGAGAAATGCCACAATCTTAATGGGAGATGCTTGAATTCTTGTAAGAAAAATGAAGAACTTGTTGCTTTATGCCAGAAGGCTCGGCAATGCTGTCTGATAATCCAACCATGTTCAAAAAGGAAAAAAAAAAGATCAACGTGGAACAGTAGACTTCCCAGAGCAACACGAATGACCTAGCTGCGTCTCCCTCTTCCTCTGGCTTCTTCTGTAAGACACTTCAATAAAAATAAATGACTGTCTTTTATCAATTTGTCAAGTGCTTCACTAAGAAGAGGAACATGAGTAGTTCATCTCGATGGCCCCTCCCTCCTGGATTATTTTTCTGTATTGTTTTGGTGAGGGAATTGTCCCAACGCCATCTGGTATTTCTTTTAAAAGGGGAGTCCAAGAGACTATAAATCAACAAACTGTCACTTGCTCTCAGGCAAATAGCCCCAACCATCTGTTGAAATAGATGATGATGATGGTGATGATGATAGACAGATAGGCAAGTAGATAGAGAAATGAACATATGTCAAGATGCATAGTTATATTAATAATATATTAATAATAAGATAGTTGGATAATCTACTTATGAAAACCCTCATGTTACACCCCTGTCTGAATTAATTCTCTTAACTCTATGCTTTTAAATTGGAGGCAGTTAAATACTTCCAATGAATTTGTTTCACATCCATAAGTCTGGATTCAAATTTGCTGATGGCCAGAGGGATCATAAATATCTAGCATTAGTGACCTGAAACCTGATCCAACCTTGACATTCTATTTTCCTAGGAACTGGCTAACTGCCAATGACCCAGTGACACTAAGCTCTTACATTACCTAGTTCCAGTAAGGACTTCCAAGGCTTCAGATCATCAGCCTCGGTTCCCTGCTGGGTGAGAGATCTTACCTTATCTCCCTTTTAATTCCCCAAGGTCAATGTACTTAATCCTATTGGAATCAATGACCCTTTTGCTAACACTTTTCTGTTTTGAGATAATTATAGAGTCACATAGAGTTGTAAAAAATGATAGAGACATCTCGTGTTTCTTTTAACCAATTTTCCCCAATAGCAACATCTTGCAAAACTGTAGTGCAGTATTACCACCAGAATATTCTCCCAATGATACAAAATGAGTCCGTCACCATAGAGACCACACATGTTGGCTTTCTAGAGCCACGCCCTCTCCGCTCCTGCCTCCATCTCCTCCTTAACTCCTGGCCCTACTAATTTGTTCTGCATTCATACAATTTTGTCCTTTCAGAAATGTCATCTAAAGGGGATCATACACTAGGTAGCTTTGAGGATTGGTGTTTTACTCAGCACGATTCCCTGTAGATTTTTCAAGGTGGTTGGGTGTGTGTCAGCAGTTCTTTCCTTTGTGTTGCCGAGCAGTATTTCACAGTACGGATGGACCACAGTTTGTTTAGCTTTTCACCATTGAAGGGCACCTGAGTTGTTTCCAGTTGGGCGCTGATTGGAATGATGCTGTTACAAACATTTCCGTTTGTAGTTTTTTGAGCAAACATAAGTTTTCATTACTCGGAGTAGTAAATGTCCCGGAGTGCAGTTGCTGGGTCTTAAGTTAGTTGCAAGTTTAGTTTTTATAAGAGAATGCACACTGTTTTTCAGAGTGGCTGCCCATTTTACATCCCCACCAGCAATGTAAGAGTGAGCTAGCTTATCCACATTTTAACCAGCACTGGTTGAAAATAGCGGTCACTATTTTTTTTACATTTTTTTTTGCCAGTCCGGTTAGTGTGGATTGACAAATCGTTGTGATTTTAATTTCTCTAAAACCCAGTGATGTTTTTTGTTTTATTCTCCAAAAGAATGAGGCAAAGATCCTTGGAGAAATGGCTAATTTTAGGACTGGAGCAGGAAATATACAAGATAAATCCAGAACAAGTTGGAGTCCCAGACCATATGCACATACTCCAAACAAACAAACAAACAAACAAACAAACAAACAAACAAATGACATGGTGTGTCAAAGAAACAGAAAAGCCAACTGAAAGTGCTCCTTATGACCAAAGCTGAAGTAATTTGAGCAAATAATAATAATAATAATAATAAAAGTATACTGGATTATAACTCAAAGTATAAAATAAATATCTATGGCCATGGGTTCATATTGGTAAAGATAAGAGACTGAATGAATGAATGAATGAATGAGAAGAGACAGCTCTCTCATGCAGAATAATTCCAAATTATGTAGCTACTCCACTCTCAAAGAAGTGAGCATAATTCCACGCGCCTTGATTGTGGTCTGTGAACAATGACCTCCTTCCACGGAGTACAGTAGCCAAGGAGGAGAAAAGGCAACTTTCCAGCTCCCTCCTGGGCCTCCACTGATCACAGCCCTGGTGGACAGTGTAGGAAGTGCCTGTGGCCTCCCTGACATCATGGGAGGGAGGGAGAGAAGTCCTCGTTACCTGTGGGTGGTAGTGACAGCCTGGACTCTGACTAGGTCTCCTCTGACGGAAAGCTGGGGCAAAGCCTCATGCTTCAAGGGGTGGGGTGGGGGTGAGTGGGAGGAGCCCTTGTTAAAATTCAAGCACAGCAGAATTCTTGTAAAAATGCAGTAATTCATTCCCTACCTGTTTTCCCCACTCTAATGTGGAAAGCAGGAATGGGTAGATAGATGATAGGTGATTGATGGATAGATGATAGATGGATAGATAGAAAGATAGATAGATAGATAGATAGATAGAGAGATGATAGATAGATGATAGATAGATATAGATACGTAGATGATAGGTGATAGATGACAGATAGACGAATCTCACAATACCATACTTGGCTGTGGTGTATAATTCCCTTTCTATATTGTTGGATTTGATTTGCAATAATAATACTGTGTTGAGGCTTGTTACATCTATGTTTATGAGAAATATGTCTTTTGTAGAAATATAATTAAAAACAAAATCTTCTCCCAACACAGAAATCGTATCCACAAAGGCAGCAGAAAAAATAAAACACTTTTATTCTCGAATAAGCATTAAAGCAAGATGTGATACATAGCACAGCAGTCCACTAAGAGATGGCCAAAGCAGAAAGGGACCTCAACCCTTGTTAACCCAGGCAGATACAGCTCGTTACATACACGGTAACAACCAATCCTCAAAAAAGAGGACTAGACAGCACTGCTTGTCACACAGTTATCCTAACTTCATCTGGAATTGGAGTGACAGTCGTGTTAGCTTATTGGCTATTCAGAAGAACAACAAACTCCTCATATCGTTATGACAGGAAGTCATTTTGGAAATTGGAGGCAGGCACCCACTGAAGTTCTGTTCCTACCCTTCCAGAGATGCTGCCATGTCCTTGAGAAAGACATCCCTTAGTCACAAAGCTGGCATGAGGCCTATCTAGTCTTCAAAAAGGTTCATACTCATTTCAAAGAGATGAGAACAACTTGTAATTCCAAGTTTTCTAAAGTAAATGCTCAAAGGAAAAAGAGGGGAGAGAAATCTCTTCCCTTATTTTCAACAGGGAGAATTAAGCCTCTTATTTCTCTTTTGTGTTTGCCCGGAGTCTTTATTTTGCTTTCTTGCATTGTCTCTGTCTGTTTTTGTTGGTTGGGTTATGCTGAGCGTCATAGAATGATTTAGGAAGTAGTCCCTCTGCCCCTGTTTTCTGGAAAAGATTGTGGAGAATTTGCATCATTTCATCTTAAATCTATGTTAGAATTCACCAGGGGAACCATCTGAATCTGGTATTTTCTTTGTTGGAAGCTTATTAATTAGTGGTTCGATTTCTTTACTATAGGCCTCTTCAGAATATTTATTTCTCTTTGCATGAGTTTTGGTAGTCTGCATTTTTGAAGAGATTGGTTTGTTTCAAGTTATCAAATTTGTAGTCATCAAATTGTTCATCATATTCCTTTGTTATCCTTTTAATGTTTATGATATCAGGAGAAATGATGAACCATCAAAGCCTGATTATAAAGACCACATGTATTAAGTGGATGTGAGGGGCATACAAATTTTTATAAATGGATTTTTGACACTAATTATGTTTTATAACGTCTGCCTAAAAACAGTTTCAAAAATATTTTTGGTAACTTGAACCCATAAATTTATGCTATGTTAATAAAGCAATTGATATTCATTAAATAGCTAGATCATTTCTAAATGAGATAAACTGTGGAAACATTCATTGATAAGCATAAATTTAAGCTTATATACTTTTGGCTTCTTTTTTTATGCAGCAAAGAGAGAATAGATATATAGGGTTGTCGGAAAAGTCATGACGCATTTTTGCAGTGAAAAACAGGAAAAATACGTCATGACTTTTCCGACAGCCCAACATTTGAGTCTGCTCATAACATTTGCCGTGTTGAAAAATTGCACAGCTCGTTTTTGTTTTGCTGATTCTTCCCTTTGCAGTCAGCTCCAGGCCTAGATGCTTCATGATGGCATTTGCTTGAATAACTTTGAGATCGTGTCACTGGACTGAGTAAGGATTTTAAGAACTCTAGTGGAGAGGCTGACCAAGCAGAACAAGAATTAATTACATGGGACAGAATGAACTGATGCAGAATGATGAGGGTTTTTATGATTATTGTTTTAGAACATCGCTGCCCTTTAATGTTCTGTTTTCTGCTTATAAGGAACCCCTTTCCCTTTTCTCTTAGATTCTACACCCATAACAATTTAGTCCGTTATACTTTTGGGAACAGAAATGAAACATTTATTTTTTTCTTCATGCCTGATCATTCTAAAATTAGGAAACTACTATTTATTCTTATTTTTATGGCAATATCATTATTTGCATAAGTTCAATAAGAAAACTTCTCCTCGTAATAAGACACAAGTGGAAGTCCTGGTTCTATGACCTGGGCTTTGACGGGAACGGCGATTTGAAAATGAAGTGTGTAGAATCCAATCTGAGGAAGTAAGTTGGCTTTATGGGCCACAGCTCACAGAGCTCTCTTGGAAAAACCAGCCTGGTACCTGGTTCCAGGCCTCCCAGGCTGACAGGTGAGTCACGATGGTCTCTTCCTGGCAGGCCTAGGAATCTGACGATGTTTTGGGGACCTCAAACATTCTCCATCATCAATTGCAGTCATTCCCCACAAAAGCCCGGCTGCCAATGTCTTGCCTCCTGTCCCTGGGCACAGTTAACCACACTGACTTATTCTGTTATTTAGTGAGAAGTGACCTTGATGTAGACAAGATATGTGGCTATGGGACTGCCCGCTGC